CGGGAAGCCTGCTTCTCCCTCTCCCACTCCCCCTGCTTGTGTTCCTGCTCTCGCTATCTCTCTCTGTCAAATAAATAAATAAAATCTTAAAAAAACCCAAAAACCTAAGATGTCATCAATTTTTTAAAAAATATTTTATTTATTTATTTGAGAGCGAGCATGAGCAGGGGGGATGAGCAAGGGGGGAGAACAAGAAGCAGACTCCCCGCTGAGCAGGGAGCCGGAAGTGGGACTTGATCCCAGGACCCCAGGATCATGACTTGAGCCAAAGGCAGACACCCAACCGACAGAGACACCCAGGCGTCCCAAGATGTCATCAATTTTAAGACACATTTAGGTACCATTAAGAAAATAAATGCTGCCAATTAAACTATAACATGCCACTGGTTTTTAAGACATGTCCCTATTTTAGAGAGGTTAAACTGTGAAGAAATGTTATTTTAGAATTGATGAAAGAGATAGATGATGAATACATTCTTTTTTTTTTTTTTAAAGATTTTATTTATTTATTTGAGAGAGAGCATGAGAGACAGAGCATGAGGGAAGAGGGTCAGAGGGAGAAGCAGACCCCCCGCTGAGCAGGGAGCCCGACGCAGGACTCAATCCCAGGACCCTGGGATCACGACCCGAGCCGAAGGCAGCCGCCCAACCGACTGAGCCACCCAGGCGCCCCTCGTTATGAACTTTTACACACTTTGTGTGTTGTTCCTTGTTAAGGTCAATAAAGATTATATAATTGTCGGGGCGCCTGGGTAGCTCGGTGGGTTAAGCGTCCAACTCTTGATTTCAGCTCAGGTCATGATCTCTGGTTGTGGGATGGAGTCCCATGTTGGGCTCCTGGCTCAGCGTGGGGTCGCTTGGGATTCTCTCTCTCCCTGTGCCCCCCCCCAAAATGAATAAAAAGATTACATAACATTACATTACATTTACATATTAAAAAAAGGATAAAAGAAAGTAAGATAAAAAAGGTGAAGTATCCATGTCTTTGACTTCATCAAAATTAAAAACGTCCTTGTTTTTTTTTTTAAGATTTTATTTATATAGGGCGCCTGGGTGGCTCAGTTGGTTAAGCGACTGCCTTCGGCTCAGGTCATGATCCTGGAGTCCCGGAATCGAGTCCCACATCGGGCTTCCTGCTCAGCAGCGAGTCTGCTTCTCCGTCTGACCCTCTTCCCTCTCGTGCTTTCTATCTCTCATGCTCTCTCTCTCTCTCAAATAAATAAATAAAATCAAGCATGAGAGGGGGAGGGTCAGAGGGAGAAGCAGACTCCCTGCTGAGCAGGGAGCTTCATGCGGGACTTGATCCCAGGACTCCAGGATCATGACCTGAACCGAAGCAGTCGCTTAACCGAACCACCCAGGCGCCCAAAAACGTCCTTCTTTCTAAATATTAAAACAGGGGTGCCTGGGTGGCGCAGTTGGTTAATCCACTGACTCTTGGTTTCAGCTCAGGTCATGATCTCAGGATCAGGAGATTGAGCCCCGCATCGGCTCTGCTCAGCAGAGTCCGCTTGAGATTTCCTCTCTCACTCTCTCTGCCCCTCTTGCTTGTGCCCTATCTCTAGAATAAATAAGTCTTAAAAAAATAAATATTAAAACAAGTAGAAGGTAAGCAAACAGAAAAATATTTGGGGCAGCTGTGGCCAAGGTTTAATAGCCTTAATAAAGTCCAAAAGATCATTAGAGAAAGAAGTCAAACTGACAATCTATATAACAGGGAGTTGGCTATAACTGTATAAAATTTATTCTACCTCGCTAGTAATCAAACAGACGCACAAATTAGAGATATGGTTTTTCTCAGCATGACATTAGCAAAGATTAGTGGAAAGGAAATTTTCAATGCCAGCAAAACAAAGGATATGGAACCCTCACTCACCACAGAGAGCGTTGTGAAGTGCTATAACCTTTAATTAGTGGCCTTCAAAAGACTCAGATCCTTTTGTTGAATAATTTTACTTCTAGAAATTTATCCTAAGGAGATGATCTAGTCTTTCTATGATGATCGTACAATTACATTTAGTTTTTTAAGGATTTTATTTTTGAGTAATCTCTACACCCAGTGTGGGGCTAGAACCAACAACCCCAAGATCAAGACTCACATGCTCCACCAAATGAGCCAGCCAGTTGCCCCATTCTCATTATGGAAGAAAATCCCAGGAAACTATAGAAAAAAATTAGGAAAAATAAACATCTTAGGAGTGTGGCCATATTGTTAAAAGGTCAAAACATGATTTTTTAATGCACTATCAAGGAGATTAGGGTTTTTTCCTCATCTGATCATAAACCAGTGTTCCTTGGTCCTTTAATAAGACCAGAACTCTCAAGTGCTGTAACCTATTTTTTTTTTTAAAGATTTTATTTATTTATTTGACAGAGACACAGCGAGAGAGGGAGCACAAGCAGGAGGAGTGGGGGAGGGAGAAGCAGGCTCCCCGCAGAGCAGGGAGGCCGATGCGGGGCTCGATCCCAGGACCCCGGGAACTCGACCCGAGCCGAAGGCAGACGGTCAACGACTGAGCCACCCAGGAGCCCCTCAAGTGCTGTAACCTATTAAAAAGACACCTCTGAATGTTAACTATACCTCAATTAAAACAAAAAATTAGAAGAAGAAGAAGCCTCTGGGAGGTGTCTGTTGATATCCTGGAGAGAGCATCCAAGAGCAATAAGTGTTCTCCTTACTTTTGAATCACCCAGAGATAGACCTACCGTCTGGAAGATTTGGGAGTCCCACATCTTGGTGACTCCAGCCAAAATGCCATTTCGTCTAGCTCTGTTTTCACCTGAGGGCAGGCAGCATTATTAACCCTGCCTGTTCCTTCTGTGTCCTTCTCCCTCCCAGCCACTGAATTTTCCTTTACAAAAACAGCTCCTAGCGCTTCCTGTTGAAGACCCGCTACTGTCTTCCCCGTGCACTTGGAGTTAACCCCCTTGCCAAAACCTAAATGGCAGGTCAAGAGCATTTCAAGATCGGGCCCTTCCCTACCTCTGGGATCCTATCTAGGATCACCGTTACTCTTTACTCCATCGGTGTCTTTCTCTAGTTTTCCCAACCCTGTCAAAACTGTTTTCGGACTCCAGACCATTGCACTTCGGCAGGGACACGCTGCGCCTGCATCTTTCCGTGGCGGCATTCGGAGAGGCCTTCACTCACTTTCCCACGCTACCTTATTGTTAACGTGTTTATGGCCTGTGTCCGTCAGGCCTGAGCCGGAGAGGACAGGCGAGTCGGTTTTCCGCAGTGCTGGTGGGAATCACGAACCTCACTCATCTTGTGCCACAGGCGCACACAGGGAGACCCGGGGTCATTTTCCCAGTGTCTCCACCTAGGAAATGGGTACAACTGGGCCTTGGAAGAATTGAGCCGGTTCAGACGAGCGGAGTCTGGCGCTCACGAGGCGCAGCGGGACGCGGCATCGGGCCACCCCTTCTCGTGCGAGCGCCCCGCGGCGTTCAGGGCCCGCCTACCCCGGGGCGCCGCAGCGGGGGTCGCGGGGTGCGAGGTCGTTAGGGCAAAGGCGGGGTACAGGACTCAGGTACGGGCACGGGGACCCCGCGCGGGTCCGGGCCCCAGGCCCGACGGTGGCAGGTAAAGGGAGTGGAGGCATACACGCCTCGGACGTGCTCCTGGTGTTGCAGCCCCCAGGAGAGACCCAGGTGGTCATGGGCTGGCTCTAGAGAGAAAAGGGGTACAGGAGGCGCCAAGGCGGGGAGCGGCTGTCCCTTCAGGTCGGCCCGGGGCGCGGATAATAGGCTAGGGAAGGGGTAGGAACACGGCCACCTCACCACAACCCAGAGCTCGGGACTGCCTTACATACGGTCCCTACGGGGAATTGATTGCCGCCATTCCCCTCCCCCACTCTGGCGGGTAAGGCGACTGAACGGTTTGGAAAGAAGACGCATGCGCATGAAACTAAATCGTAAACCGCGGAGGCTCCAAGTTCAATAAACGCGGGATGGCGCAGGCGCAAAAAAGCCCAAAGGGTCTATAGAGGTGGGAGGGGGAAGGAGCCCCAAACGCATGCGCATAATCGTGCGCTGGCTAGAGTGGGGGCCGGCTCATGAAATTACGCATGCGTCTGAGCGCTGTGTGACGCAAGGGGGCGGTGCGGGCAACTAGCTGCGCGTGCGCAGAGCTTGTTCAAAGGGCCTTATTTAGGTTGCGCAGGCGCCTGCTGGCCATTTCTTCTCAGCCACGCCGAAGTCGTGTGTTCAGGTGAGTGTTTGTGGCTCTGTGTTTGCCGCCCAGCGGCCCCCGAGGATGCCATTTTTGGGAGGATTGCTTGCCTCGAGACCTCTGTACAGCCTGGGGGGCCCTGGCAAGGTGCGGGCTGCCGCTTGGAGCCAGGAATAGTTCGCCGAGTAGCGGCGGGGCCGCCGAGGCCTGCAGGCCGCGTCGACTCTATTGTGTGAGATGTCGGAGGAGGCGGAGCGGAAGCGGCCGCCGCCATTTCCTCGCCTCCACGCTGGCGCTAGGCCAGGGCTCCCTCGGCTTGGAGCAATGGCACCTGGTGTCCAGAGCGGCTTCGGGGGCCTGGGTGCTGGCCGAAGGGGTGTTGAGTGTTGGAATCGCCGGGGTTCGGGCGTCCGCACGGGCTCGGCTCTTCCTTGGGTCCCGCAGGCCGGCGGCCGCCTCGAGGGCGGAGGGCCGTTTAATTTGATCATTTCCCGGGTCTGACGCTCGTCCGCCGCCTTGCAGGCCGTCTCGACGCCAGGACCCACTAGGAGACGATGATGTTGGGCACCGAAGGCGGAGAGGGATTCGTGGTGAAGGTCCGGGGCTTGCCCTGGTCTTGCTCGGCAGACGAAGTGCAGCGTTTTTTTTCTGGTGAGTTTGAGGCGGAGGCGGGAGTTCGCCGCCGGGGCCGGCCAGCCGGCCGGCGGGCGGGCGGGCAGGCGGTTGAGCCGTGAGGCGGGAGTGCCAGGGCGGGGCGGGCCGGGCCCGGGGCGCCCCCTGGTGGGGAGCGGGCGGCAGCCGTTCCCGCCCGGCTGCTCGCGTCTGGCCGGCCGCTGTTACGCAATGGAAATTGCGAAAGCCCCGCCCGCCCTCCGAGCCCTCGAGAGGGGGGAAGGGGGGAGTGCGGCCTCTGGAGGATTGTTTTGTCGTCTTTACTTACTCTAAGCACTAGTTTTTTTACGGCTGTCTTTTCGAAAGGATAAATGGGATTTCGCTCTTCATCTTGGGAAAATTGTCCAGTTTGCTGGGCAAACAATACGTTTTGCAAATCCTTAAAATATAACAGTTTATTTCCAATTTTGGTATGTCCTTGAAGCGGGGCTTTCGACTTCAGAAAGTTAAAATGTCACTTCTTAATTTCAGAAAATTTTCCTAATGAAGATTTGGTAATTGTGAAGAGTTCTTGCTCATCTAGTTCTTGATCTGGCTCACTTTACAGTTGAGGACACTGAAGCCCAGGGAAGTTGACTTGCCTATGTAGCTTTTTTCCAGTATGCAGGTTTCCTGAATAATTCCTACCAAAATGTCCTTGTTCTTACTGTTAGTGTGAGTTTAGACTGATACAGATATATTTGGGAGAAATTTGCAGGTTTTGGAAGGACACTTGTAGGATTGACCTACTATCTGAATTTAGCATTGGTAACGGAAAACGACCTGTAAAACGAGAACCAAGTACACTGGAAGCCACCTTGCAGTGAGCAAGACTGGGTTTGGCTTCAGCTGTGCAACTTGGAGCATTTTAGCTTGCTAACATTGATCCCCTTTTAGGTGAGTATTGGCCCTGCAATTTGGATTCGCAGGAGAAATTGTATGTTGCTGCCAGTAAGGTAAAACCATCAAGTGCCTCAGACCGAACCGTGAAACCAGACTCAGAAAATGGCATAAAGTCAGAGTCCAGACTTAGTTTATGAGAGGTTACAAAGGATGTTCAATGGAGAGGACTTGGAGATAATTTTGTTAAGAAATGGCTTTGACTATTGGATTTTCTTGATGCAGTGGGAAGGTGTCCAGAGAATAAGAAAGTTTGGGGGAAGATAACTGCTTAAGTACTGGAAAGTGTCCCTGGGAATTGGTACTCTGGGTCATTCTAGGCTTCGCAGAAGCTCTGCCTTGTAGTAGGGGAATACACAGGCGTTTCATCTGTATCACCCAGAGGTGGTTTTTTAGTTTTAAATTCTGTATTAACGGTTGTTTTCTTTCCAGACTGCAAAATTCAAAATGGGGCTCAAGGTATTCGTTTCATCTACACCAGAGAAGGCAGACCGAGTGGCGAGGCTTTTGTTGAACTTGAATCAGAAGATGAAGTCAAATTGGCCCTGAAAAAAGACAGAGAAACTATGGGACACAGATATGTTGAAGGTTTGATTTATGTTGCCCTAGTAACAGTAAATAAAATATTAAACACATAGAGCTCTATCTTACCCCTTCTGAATTTTAGGTATTTGACCGCATGGAAATGGTCATCTAAGGGAGTTTATGGCAGCTCTTCCTAGATTATCTAAAGACCCAGGAAGTCTGAACTTTGTTCTCTAACTTTCCAAAATTGACTAATTCTAAGCACCTCTTTCAGTATTCAAGTCAAACAACGTTGAAATGGATTGGGTGTTGAAGCATACTGGTCCAAATAGTCCTGACACGGCCAATGATGGCTTTGTACGGCTTAGAGGACTCCCCTTTGGATGTAGCAAGGAAGAAATTGTTCAGTTCTTCTCAGGTATGTAGTTGTGTTTGATACTGAGCAGTGAGTTCTGGCTAGCTTCTGGCAACATGTGATTTAATAGACCTTAAAGTCCAGTAGCTTAGATACTTAAACAGGTGTGAGTATGTGCAGATGAATTAAATGTTTTCTTCTTCCTGGAGACCTTCAAATAATTTAAGCCCATCTTAAAGGTGGAAATTCAGTACTTCCAAAATGCTAAGTTTGCCTATATTTAGTGTTGTAGTTCTTCAGAGTAGATCTTTGAGGATTGTCCTCAACAGCTTAACTACTTTCCTCACAATGCTGTTCAGCAAAGTACCAAGTTAAAGGTAAGATTCTTTAACGTCAGATCAGTATCAGTTAGGTGGTTGTAATTGACGGCAAGTGCCTATGTGGTAAGACACATTGGGTCATGGGCCCAGAAATGTCTCTAATGGTCTAATTCTCTGTGGGAAAAAAAAAAAAACAACTCTTATGGTTGGTTTAGCCAGGGAATTATATAAACTTACTAAAAGTCGGTCTAATGTAGGAGTAGTTTGAATGTAGTCTCAGTATCTGAAATACAGAAAGTGTTTTGAAATTGTTTTGGGCCTAAAGTATTTGAATGTTTTTATGCTGAAGAGCTGATAAAATTGCATGTTTAGCAGAATGTTAGATAATATGTTTTAAGTAACTTCTAATATTCATGATGCGATAAAGTGGAATTAACAAGAAATCCTTTCATGGTTCAGTGTAGTGTGTATTAAAATCTTGACTTAGATATGTTATCAAGTCCTAATATTTTGCCAGAATTTTTGAAATCAAGTCTGTTTTGATTGTTTTTGTCTAAATTGGTGAGAATTGAATGCTATCTGTCAACGTTAAATATGAACATAATTTCATATCTTCTAGGAAAGTGCTTTAAGCCCTTTTTGTAAGCTTGGGAATGTATCCACGGAAAGGATTTTTCATAGACGGAATTTCCAGAAGTGAATCATACTACTGTTAGAGCATAAGAGTGCTTGATTGTGCTGTGTAGATCAGTTGTTTGTTGAAAAGCTTAGATTGTATGTTTGTCAATTATATGACTTAAGTAATGTTTCAATTTGTATATAAAATGTTTAAATGTGTAATTTTTTTAAAAAGTTGAAGTTCCACTAACTTAAAACATTGAAATATAAAATGAGGTAAAAGGTGTGTTGTAAGTTTAGTAACTGTTGTATTTAATGCTTGAAACTTTATTAAATTCTTCTGTAATTCTCAACATTAATTTGCATAGATTAGAGTGTTAATTGTTGAATTCTTAATGCATCCTGTGTTCAAGTGTTTTTTGTTTTTTTTGTTTTTGTTTTTTTTTGTTTTTGTTTGTTTTTTTTTTCTTTTACATACTATGCCATGGGGTGTGTTAAGAATTGAGTTATACTTTGTAATAATGGAACTTCATATTATTACAATGCATATGTAAAGAGTTACTTGTTGAAAGCATACCGTTCACCTAAAGTTAAAATTCTGGTTTATTTAAAGCTATAAGAAGAATCATTTTTGGGCTTGTGATGTTAATATTGCCCCCCTACTGGGGTTATTTGTCCTTGGGTTGAAGGGTTGGAAATCGTGCCAAATGGGATAACATTGCCGGTGGACTTCCAGGGGAGGAGTACGGGGGAGGCCTTCGTGCAGTTTGCTTCACAGGAAATAGCTGAAAAGGCTCTAAAGAAACACAAGGAAAGAATAGGGCACAGGTGGGGATGGATGGTTGGTTGGATTTGTCACTTTTCTTATGGTAAACAATTAAATCCATATTCTCTCTGCTTAGAAGGAAGAAATCTATTTTCTAGTCCCAATTGATGTTTTGCCACAATTTTCAAATTTGTGTTAAAGTCCCATAATGCATTGAGATGAAAGTTCAGGTTGTAAAATTGTCCCCAGTTAATTTGATCTCCCTGACAATATTGTAAGATTCCTAATTCTAATCACTAGAGTTGAGAGACTATGGCTTTAAAAAAATGTTAATGCAAACCTGGCTTTAGCTGTAATAACACCCACCTAGTAAATTAATATTACCATAAGAAAATGTGATACTTTCTGATCTTGTTTTTAAAGTTGAAATGCAACAAACTTTTTCTTGCTGTATAAATATTCTGCATATGTATTAATAAGCATAGCTTTCAAGAAATTGTCACAAAAGGTTTTATTCTCTTTGCTTGTGACTATTTTTCATTGAAGCATGCGCTTACCTATGCTGATTCCTACTAAAAGCATAGGCCTGGGGTAATATTGGCGAAAGGAAATGTGTAGTGTGGGCTAGACTGTTGGTGGAGGCTGGCTTTTTAGCCCACTTGCTATACATGCTGCCAACGGATTTAAGACATGAAATGTTGAAAGTTGAGTGGAATTCTTTCCCTCCTAAGACATTTATAGTACTCCTCTCTACCCCTAAGGTTGGGCTCTCTGCCTCAGAGGAGTGACTTTTACTCTATAAATTTTACATTAAATCTTAACAATTCAGTGAATTTCTGGTCATTGCCTATGCAAATATAAGAAATCTGGCTTTAAATATTAGTCAGTTTCATGGCTATGACTACATTGTTTTCTTGTGTAACTAAATACCTGTATGAAATCGACTAATGTTTTCTCTCCCCTCCCCATCCCCTTCCCTCATGAACAATGCTTTAGGTATATTGAAATCTTTAAGAGCAGTCGTGCTGAAGTTAGAACTCACTATGATCCACCACGAAAGCTTATGGCCATGCAGCGGCCAGGTCCCTATGACAGACCTGGAGCTGGCAGAGGGTACAACAGCATTGGCAGGGGGGCTGGCTTTGAACGGATGAGGCGTGGTGCTTATGGTGGAGGTACGTGAGGCCGTGCAGGCGTCATAAGGTCTGTTCCTCCTGTAACTGTTTTCATTTGGTTGATTGTCCTTAACTGTCTTTCAGGGTACGGAGGCTATGATGATTATAATGGCTATAATGATGGCTATGGATTTGGGTCGGATAGATTTGGAAGAGGTAAGGTAAGAATTGAATTTCTCAGCTGAAGGATACTTACACTCTTGTAAATCTAGACCTCAATTACTGTTTTTCAGGAATGTCTGATCACAGATACGGGGATGGTGGCTCTACTTTCCAGAGCACAACAGGACATTGTGTACACATGCGGGGATTACCTTACAGAGCTACTGAGAATGACATTTATAATGTAAGTGTAGGATAAATTTACGAGTTGTCTGGTTCAGGATAGCAGTAAAAACTTGGTTCTTATTCTAATTAAGTGAAACAGGTTTAAATTGTGCTTTTTTTGGTAATGGTGGATCTTTGACTTCGTTCTCTGAAATACCTTGTATTTAGTTTTTTTCACCGCTCAATCCTGTGAGAGTACATATTGAAATTGGTCCTGATGGCAGAGTAACTGGTGAAGCAGATGTTGAGTTTGCAACTCATGAAGATGCTGTGGCAGCTATGTCAAAAGACAAAGCAAATATGCGTAAGTGTGGTTTTAAGTATTTTGGGGTCTCTGTAACAGATGGTTGAATGACCACCGTTTGTGATAGAGAAATAGTAAGGATGTATGAGAAATTTGTTCTCCCGTAATGGGTTAGTTAGTTCCGTGGTGTGTGTTTAAAAAGCGTGTGGGTTTTAAAAATTAGTATGATTGAAAAGGGGTTTGTGGTAACGTCTTGAAGTATATCCTTAATTGACAAACTTAGAACAATTTGGATGAATGTTTAAATCAAGAGGCTGGTGGTTGAAACCAGAGTAATAAGCTGAGAAGCAGCTAGAATTTTTTTTACCAAAAGTATTTGCAGTTCACACACCTACTTGTTTAAGAACTTAAAGTGCTTATCTTTCTTCTTTCACCAACAAACACTTTCAAACCTTTTTTTCTCTCATTTCAGAACACAGATATGTAGAACTCTTCTTGAATTCTACAGCGGGAGCAAGCGGTGGTGCTTACGGTAGCCAAATGCTAGGAGGCATGGGTTTGTGTAAATATCACTTTAGTGTCTTTTTTTAAGCTAACCTTGTATGCCTTTTCTCTCATTTCAGAACACAGATATGTAGAACTCTTCTTGAATTCTACAGCAGGAGCAAGCGGTGGTGCTTATGGTAGCCAAATGATGGGAGGCATGGGCTTGTGTAAATATCGTTAGTTTTTTTAAAAACCAAAACATTTATACCTGTATAAGTCGATTATATAAGTTAAGTTATATTTTAAGGAGTTTAGCATAATTAAGTTAGGCAAAGAGATTGTGATTTGAATTTTGTGTCTGGCTTATTTAAATCATTGTGAGTTAAATAAAATTGTTTAGATAACTAGTTTTTAGTAGTTTTGGGGGAGGGGACTGCAGAAACTAGTTGAATTGTCTTAAGTATGAAGTAGGAGTCTAAAACTAATACCTAGTTAAAAGCACAAGGTCAGTAAAGTTTTGGGCATGGTTAGTTGGGCATAATTAGGTGTTCAGTGATAATCTGTGTATGACATAACCTTACTATTTCAAATTATTGGGGGAAAACCCTACTAAATCCAGTTAAGCAATATCCTAAGGTCTTCTCAGAATGCCTCTACTTATGGAATCACGTGGATTTAGTCCTGCTGACGTGCATACTGTTGGCCTTCGGGTTTATAATTGTCTAGTTCATACGATGGATAGAAAGATAGTTTGGTCATAGGCAATAGGTAGAAGGAGGCAGAGGGTTATAGTGATACGAGATCAAGACTGGAAAATCATAGATTTAGAATTAAAAGCCCGGTACCACTAGGTACCACATTACATACGGAACAAGGTCCTAATGTTCTCTTAACTTAACAGCAAACCAGTCCAGTTATGGCGGCCCAGCCAGTCAGCAGCTGAGTGGTGGTTATGGAGGCGGCTATGGCGGCCAGAGCAGCATGAGTGGATATGGTAAGTGTGTTTTTTTATGTACTTGAAATAAGTTTTAGGCAGGTTTCTTTAGATCGGGGAATATGCAGGCTCCTTTTTGGTGAAAGTGGGTTAATAAATGTTTGCTTTTGATCCAAACGTAACTTGTTCTTAATAGTTTAATTTTTGGAACCAATCATTGGGAGGGGGAAGTGTTCTATAAATTAAAACTAGTCATTGCAACTTGGACTAATGTCGAGCCAGAAAACGTCTGCCTCCATTTATTAAACAATTAAACTGTTGATTTTTTTTTTTTCTGTCTTTTGGTAGCATTAAATCCATTTTAGATGGAGGGAGGATTTAAATAGTAGAATGGTGGTTGGGTTTAGGACCGTATTTACTAGTCAGTTTTATCCTAGGATTGTTTTTATTTTTATTTTTTTTCAATTGGTCTAAAGAATGGTGATTTTGGTATTATAGTCTTACCCTACAAAATCCTTTTGCAGACCAAGTTTTACAGGAAAACTCCAGTGATTTTCAATCAAACATTGCATAGGTAAATATTTTCTCAAAAAATATAATTTAAATTCCCGATAGCAAATACTGATATGTTGTAATAACACTATTTCTATAGCAGTCAATGGCTCTGACTTAACTCCATGGAGGCTGCCATTTTGGGCACAGTGAGTTGCCTTTAGTCCCAACTTTTGTCGTCTCACTTCTTGCCCACCATGAATAGGAAAAGCAAGAGACTGCCCCTGTCCTCCCTATTCATACATGCCATTCGATGGACATACTGTGAATGTTTATGGTAAATTTTTTTTTTAAAATGCCTTGCTTAGCTTTAAAAACAAGTAATTTTTGCAATTTTTGAAAAACACTAGTTTTCCTTTAAACTTAATTTTCTATGTTGATCCTGAAGCATCCAATTAAATGGTAGCGCAAGAGTCTGGCAAGTTGGTACTGCAGAGAAAAGGGGTTAATTGAGACTTGTTTGGAGTCGGGAGTCCCCTTTCCCAAACATGCTTCTCGCCACTTGGACAGCAGCCATTTGTACTCGTATACTTTTTAAACTTTTTCTTGGAATGCTCTGTTTTATTTGACTGATGATCTGATGATTCTGCTGACTTGTCACATTGCTCTCTCTGCAGGCAGCCAAGGCGCAGTGAACAGCAGCTACTACAGTAGTGGAAGCCGAGCATCTCTGGGCGTGAACGGAATGGGAGGGATGTCTAGCATGTCCAGTATGAGTGGTGGATGGGGGATGTAACTGATCCTGATCACTGACTCTTGGTCAACGTTTTTTTAAAAAAGTTTAACAGTTTTGCAATACAAGCTTGTGATTGATGCTTACTCTTAAGTGGAAATCAGGATTGTTTTAAAGACTTAAGGTTCAGTATTTTTTGAACACAAACATTCATCTAGGATGTAACAATGGAGTAAACTATAACTGTTAAACAATTTTCAGCTTTTCTCTAGTTCTATTGTAGGATGTACTTAAGCAGCAAGTGTATTTAGGTTAAAGCAGTTGAATTATGTTAAATGTTGCTCTTCTACCACATTACATTGAACACTGTTGGGATGCATGTTGAAAGACATGCTTTTTTGTAAAACTCAATATAGGAGCTGTGTCTACAATTAAAAGTGAACACATTTGGCATGTTTGTTAATTCTAGTTTCATTTAATAACCTCTAAGGCACGTAAGTTGAAGCTTTTTTTTTTTTTAAGTTAATGGGGGACTTTGAGACGCAACACCATACGTTAGGATTTTGGTCTTGGTGTTTGTATGAAATTCTGAGGCCTTGATTTAAATCTTCCCTTGTATCGTGATTTCCTTTTAGGTGTATTGCGCTAAGTGAAACTTGTCAAATAAATCTTCCTTTTAAAAACTGCACTTTGTCTTGTCTGTGCTTCAGTGTCATGTGGACTGTTTCTTGGTGCTCTCTTCCTGCCTGGGGCGTAGGTGACAGTGGCCCACGTCTCTGGCTGTGGCAGAGAGGCTCGGCAGCCTCCTCTTCCCTCCGGTGCAACTGAAGGTAAACGGAGCTTTTGGGGCCCTTGTGGAAGGGCTGTGTGTTTGGCCTGGCTGCACAGGACTTAACCCCAACTGCCCTTGACTTGCTAAGCGCTTGCACAAAACCCAGGGAGGTGGCAGTACTCTGCATGTTCTGCATGTCCCCAGAGGCCTGTGGCAGGCATGGCTGAGAAGGCAGTGCCCGAGGCGCAAGGGGGTACCCACCAGGAGCTGCCCTTTCCACTCTGGTGGCCTCCCTGAAATTTGGCTTCCATGGGGCATGGGGCGGGGGGCTTGTAGAAGGAGCTAGCTTATAAATGGCTTTCAAAGGGAGTCTTTTGGTCTTTGATTCCTAAAGATCAGGTCCACTTAGGGGCAGAATTAATTACTTAGAGTTTTGGAGGTAGAATTCCAAATTGCATTTCTGAGCAAAAAGGACTAGTTTAATTTGGTTAATTGGAATTCACCTGTCTTGGTAGAACTCTGACAACTCTTGAGTAGCTGGCGTTAAGCACTTTTTAAAGGGATCATCCCCAAAGTCCCTTCAGTAGATCCTGATCTGAAGCCATTTTCACTTGCTGTGACTGTGCTGAAGGTTCTGATCTTGGATGAGGTTTGCTCAGAATCCCAATATCTAAGAGTCTGTAGATGGCAGCATTGCACAAATGTGCATAGAAGGCCCTGCAGACCCTACCCTGCTCCATGCCCTCCGTCAGGACTGGGTGCACGCACCCTGCGGGCCAGTGCTGTCGCATGTGTGCAGTTGGGCTGGGGTTCGGAAGTGTTAGACTTGGCTAGAGGGTACCTCTAGCTGGTCTTCTGGTTTAGAGAAAATAGTTTTCGGGGGAGGTTCTGAGCATTTGGTCTTCCAGCTGTGTTCTAGACCTAGTCCTGCCCCTAGGATCTTAGCGGAGTCACTCTGGAACCGACCTGTGTTGAGAAGGCCCCGGGAGGGTTCCTTCCCTGGGTCCTTCAGCTACCTTGTTTAATGTAGGGAACATCTGTGTTGAGAAAAAGCCCATTGGAAGAGAAGAGACTATAACTAGACATGTGGGGAGGAAGGCTAAGCGAGTGCAGAACTGTTTGCAAAAGCCAAAGTGAGGCCTGGGCCATTCTGGTGCTTTGGAACCTTGCATGAGAACCAGCTGGGCACTTGTTAGCCCGGACCAGAACCTCCAGATGCTGTTGGGAGTGGGCGTTCTAACGTGGGACCCTGCCGTGTCCCTGGGTAATGGACCTGTGCGTGTCAGCTTGAGAAGCACTGCCCTAAGCCATCTGTGGCCCCTGTCACCCAGGTCAGGAGGGTTGCCAGACCACAGCCTGAGGGTTCCACAGGTTCAGGGGCATGTCTGATGTGTGAGGAGAGTTCTGCCTCACGCAGCTAAATACTTGCTAACTGGCACAGCGATCCTGTGTGAATAATGCCTGTCGAACATCTGTTGCTTGTGGGTGGGGAAGGGAGGTGGGGAAAAGAATCCGTTATGACATGGGGAAGAGCACTGAGGGCTGCGCGGTGGTGGGAGCTGTCAAAACGGTCTAGGATCAGGTATTCTGCTTCCTTTTGTGTATGTGCAGATGAGCGCTAAGGCCCAGAGGTGAAGTGACCTGCCTAAGGCTCCCCAGCAAGTTGGAGTCCAAATTGGGTGCATTGAAAACAAGGTACCGATCTCTAATGCTAGACCAGTTGGGGGCCACGCAGCAGGATGTAAGCATTTTTGGAAAAGCTGGGCCCTGGAGGAGATGTAAAAAGCTGCTCAGAGGAAGTGACAGAAGGGGAGGCCCCCTGGCAGCCACTCTCGCTGCCACGTACTTCCTGGAAGGAACATGGCTTTGGAGCTGGGCCCACAGATCCTGGGACCTAATCTCGCTTAGCCGCCCAGGTTCCCGTTCGTAAAGGATGGCTGTAAGGGCACGGCAGATGTGGGATCAGAGCCCACGAAGGAAAGGGCCAGGGACTGGACAATGAAGGAGCCAGGGGCCGAGCGGCGGGGGAGTAGGCAGTGAGCAGGGGGAGTCCACGGAGGGCTCCGCGGATGGACGGGCTAGTCTGGACAGTTACTTCACCTGGATATTCGAGACCACGGACCGGTCGGGTGGGGGGTGAGCATGCGCGGAGTCCGTTTTCATAGCCGACAAACAGCACCTGTCCTGGCCCTGCTTGGGAAAGTAAAAACTGGTGGCCTGGCAGATGCTTCCCACAGGTGTGTCCATCGGAGTGCACTAGATCAAGCTATTGTCGTCTGTGTCAACTCCCTGGCATAGAGAACACCTGAGCTTTGGTGACGGGGGTAAGGTCACTTCCCCCATGCCCATCCTGTCCTTGGCTCCCTGGGCAGGGCCAGCCTGCGCCCCGGGGTCCCCCCTCCCTGAGGGTCGGTAGTCCTGGTCCAGACATGGGGACACGGGGGTGGCTCTGAGGCCTCCCCGAGAGGCTGTCCCTGTGATGCCAGCGTTTTCTGCACCAGCGTGAAAAATAAAGGCTTTTATTGCAGGTCTAGAGACATATTCACAAGGGTGTGACATGGCCAATCTCTTGACTCTGAAGCAGGGAAGGCAACAGTGCGGGGGGAGAGGAACGGGGTGCTCGCGACACTAGTACAACTGTTGTAAAACCGCTTAATTTTGTGAAAAGTGACAGTAGCAAAATGAAGTTCCATCAGAGCCAAAGCCGGTGACGTAGGGCAAGGCGGAAGGCAGCGCCTGGACCCGGTCAGTGGCCGGAGGACGAGCAGCGCTGCAGGAGCAGGGTGTGGCAGCTGTCGCACACGCGCACGGGCCTGGGGTAGGAGGGCAGGGCCAGCTCGTTGCTGGAGCACGTGCTGCAGAAGATGTGGCCGCAGTGGCGGCAGTGGTGCTGGGGGGCACGAGGGGGCGGTCAGGGCGGGCGCCTTCCGATCCCCCCCCCCCCGCCCCAGCAGCAGGGGTCCGTTCGGGGGGTGGGGGGGGGCGTGTGCACTTGTAGGACTGAGGCTCTAGAATGCACTGGGGCTGCTGATTGGCTATGGAACATCCCCGCTTCGCTCCCTGGCGTCATGGCGTCTGCTGCAGACGCGAGGTTTCCGAAGCCAGTGCCTCCTGCCTTTGCGCGGAGTTTGTCCGCCCGCCGCCTCCATCACTCTGGGCCATGGCCAGGCCGGTTGGGGGCTGGGGACCATGAGGCCCCAGCCTCCAGCAGGCCCTGTGCCCAAGCCTCATCTCAAAGGCAGCCTCAGGAGGGCCGTTTCTACCGCTGGACCTATGCGAGGCACTGGCCAGGATTTGGGATTTCTCCTTTCCCACAGGGCCTGACGAGACTGGGATGGGGGAGAATGCACAGCTGCAAGGTGGGGGGTGGGGCACCGTTAGTGGGCTGGACAGGCTTCCAGTCTTGCTAGGGATCTGTGTCCTGCCCCTGTGCTGCCCAACTGCTCCATCAAAGCCCCAGCAACCCTGGACCAAAGGCTGGTTGTGGGACCCCCCCGCCCCCCACCCCGGTCCTGGAAGTGGAAGGCAGAGTCCCCCCGGCACGGGCACTGGCTCAGCTTCTGGGGCTGTGTGGATGCCTGTCTAACCACTGGTTCTCTATAGATGGTTTTTGCCTAATTTAGCCAGATTTTGGTCCTGTTGCTGACCATGAAGTTTGAATGATACACTCACCTAGTGTTCTGTACGTGAGCAGCCCTAACTCCCAAAGAAATCTGCCAATCCTTGACGGGTGGGGACAAGCTGGGAAGCCATCTGCAGGGGTCAGCACACCAGCAAGTGCCGTCGCATGTGGTGGCCCGGGTCCCACGGGAGTGGGTTGAAGGGGAGCCCCTGTGGGAGCTGCTGGAGGGCCACCCCCACGTACCTTCCTCCGGGAGATGGAGAACTCCTTTTCACACTGCTTACAGTGCGTTGCTTCATCATCCTTTAGCCATGTATGGCCCTGAGGGGGAAAGACCACAACAGAACCCCATTTTGCAGCTTGGCTCCTGACGGACCTGTATTTGTGTTCCGATTGCCCAACATCAGGGCCTTTTGAGGGTCTCCTTTCGCGGGACTTCCTCCCCCCCGCCCCCAGATGCAGCCACGGCCGGAGCTCAGGTGCTGCCGCCCGCCCGCCCTCTGGCTCGGGCCTCCTGGCCCCTGCAGGTCACCCCTGGGCCTCCAGCCAGATTCCCTGGCTTCCTGTCACCCAGACTCAACTGCCCGCTTTCAAAAATGCCCTTGGGCCAAGGTACCCAGAGCCCAGATCTAGTGCTTCCAAATTGACCCTGGCGGAGACCTGCTCCAGATGGAGAGGGGCCAGTCCCGCCAGGGCGGGCCCTGCTGAGGGACAGAAGGCAATGTGCCAGCGGGGGGGGGGAGGGGAGATGGGAGGCCCCTGTCCCCATGCTAAGCCCCCAACCCTGCAGCACAATGCGGTGAGGCGGGATCTGAGGCTTTAAGGCTGCCTTTCTGGAGATCTTTCTAAAGGAAAACAAGGATGTGCCATTTATGCAGCCAGAGGAACTAAGCGCTCAATGGGGCCAAACGCCTGAGGAACTGTTCTGGCTCCTTTGCATCTGACAGTGACAGAGCCACTTCAGGAGCTGCAGCGCGACGCCCGACAGCCTGTCCCCGTGGTGCTGCTGGCCGTCGCTGGCCGGCACATGTGGGCAGGGCAGGGGTGCCCTTCAAGGAGCTTTCCAGGTACAAGGGAGGGAAGCCAGTGCCGCCAAGTTCACGTCTGGGTTGCTAAGATGGCTGGGACAGTTGGCTGCCCCTGACCTGCCCGGCGCCAGGGTCTCTGAACTGGTGGAGGGCGGACTCGCCTGTCCCAGCTGGGCTGTCCCTTCCTCTCTCAACTGCCCCCCTCTCCCCAGTCCGCACCCCAGCTGGCCAGCCTGGCGCCCAGACCAGGTCACCTGGTCCCACGCGTTCCCGCCCACCCTAGGTGGCGGGCATCCTTTGGCCCTCCCGGAAATGCTCCAGAGATGTGGCCCGGCTCGGGGTGGCCTTGGGCCCCTCACTTGCTCCCTATTTAAAAAATGCCTGGATCTCTTTCTGCCACTTGTTGTTCCCTTCATTTGGGCTCCTGTGATCTAGGCCTGCTCTTGAACGTCCAGCTGAGGGGCCGGAATCAGGACGGAGGTTGCGGGCTGGGCCCCACTGCCTGCCAGTGTCACACATCCCCGGGTCACAGGCCTATGGGACACATCCCTCACCTGACTCGGGAGAACCTGAGTGCCTGGGGCAGGAGCGTGAGCTGACTAAGCTGGGGGCAATGATTCTGAGGCTAATAACGTTAACAATCCAGTACCTTCAGTGCCTTGTTTACTTCTTTGATGTCTTCCATCTTTAGCTTTGACCTTAAAAAGAAAAAAAGATGATTTGTAGCTGGGCGAGGCTCTCAAACTCAGCAAGCCCACAGCTACTGTCTGGCTTCAGGAGGGTGACGGCTTAGGAGAGAGCAGCCCCATACAGGAGTTGTTCGAGAACACGCTTTCTGCCTTTTATCATCCCAGAGTCACCTCATCATGCTGGCTCATGTCTGCTGCGCTCTAGGAGCCTGTGGAACGAACGTGGTCCCAAAACAGACTGTTGAGCCTGCAAGGTTTAAAAAGACTTCGAAGTAGTTGCAACCATTTAAAAATTGGGAGGGCGCCTGGGTGGCTCAGTCGTTAAGTGTCTGCCTTCGGCTCAGGTCATGATCTCAGGGTCCTGGGATCGAGTCCCGCATCGGGCTCCCAGCTTGGCGGGAGGCCTGCTTCTCCCTCTGATGCTCCCTCTGCTTGTGTTCCCTCTCTCACTGTCAAATAAATAAAATCAAGAACTGGGAATAATTTCCTAGAAGTCAGTTTCCTGGCTTCTCCGGGCAACCATTCCTGCATGGGACATGTGCCTGAATGGGGGTGCGGGGCCCCCCCCACGGTAGGCACCCGAATCCTCGTGGCTCCTTCGGCCCCTTTCCTGCTGCCTGCTCCTTCTAGAACAGTCCTGCTCTGAGGACAGGTTCACTTGCTCCACCCTTGTTAGCGGAAGAAGAGTTCCTTAGTCGTCCACATAGAAGACAGGCCTGAATGTGGTCTACACTGGCAGAATTCAACCAGATAAAATGAAACTGCGTATCTGTAATTGCAGGCTGGGGCAGTGCGGGGAGGTCTGAGCCCTTTCTGAAAAGCTGACATTAGCCTAAACTGTCACTGGATCAACAGAAAGGTCAAAGTGGCAGGGCTCTAAGACATAGACGAGACTTCCAGAGGAGGACTGGGAAACTGAGCATCGGGGCCTTCAGTCCCACCTGAGCAGCTCAGAGACAGGCCTGCAGTCTGACAGGACCAGAAGCTGCCCGGGGGGCAGGGGGGAACCAGGGGACCCCAGGTCAGGACGGCAGCCTGAACGTGCAAGCACGTCCCTGGGAAATACAACTTGGAAAGGATCCGGAAGTTGCCCAGAGAAAGAAACCGGGCAGTGTCTAGCTGGTGGAGAATCTGAGGAGAACCCTGTCCTCTGTCACCCGGTGTCGGCTTGCAGGATGGAGGGGGGAGGGAGGGAGGGAGGGAGGAAGCACAAGGATGTTCCTTGGGGATCCCTGCCCACGTCACACGTCCTCGACACAACCCCAGCGCAGCCTGACTGATGTGCGTGCTACTACAGTGTGTTTCTAGCTGCTTCTCTGTCGGTCCCCATGTCTGGACCTCTGGTCACAGGCTCCCACGGGGCCCCCATCTCTCTGGTCACTGTGCTTGGGGAAGGAGCCAGAACAGGACCTGGTGGGGACCAGAGCCACCGGTGAGGGAGCAGACAGGACGGCAGACTAGGAGGGAGAGACTGATTCCCGATGGCTTTTTGGGCTTGAGACAGTCTGAGCTGGGTTTCTGTCCCTCTGCAACCAGGAGTCCTGACTCCTAAGGAGAATAAAGCTCCCCAGCGGCTCTGAAAACACAATCATCTCACAAATGAACAAATCCTACAATCTGCAGTGTGACCTATCGGACGGGCCAGAGCAACTTGGCGGGACGGGGACCCCGGGGGGGAGGGCTGTCAGGTCAAAGGAGAGACCGAAGTACTAAGGTCTGTGCTCCTTTAGCAGTGCCCAGCAGGACAGATAGACAGACAGATGCTGGTAGATGTGAATGTCCAGAAAGGGAGATGGTGGTTGTGCTATGCCACAGCAGGCAGAATCCTCAAACCCCATAGCCCCCTCGTCTGACTGCGGGCCCAGCAAGCACCCCACCCACCGCCCTCCTGGCTTGCTTGGGACGTAGAGGCTGAGCTAGTGAACAGGAGGGCTCACTAGAAGGGATTTCCTAATGCATTAAACCGGCGCTGTGTCTCCAAGTCCTGACTTCCTGGGGGGTCGCCCTTAAACACCTGGCCAGCCTCCTGCCCGGCCCTCCCCTCCCTGGTTTGGGGCCTGGTAGGCAGGCTGGTGTGACTCTGGAGGGGCGGGGGGCAGGCCCAGTAGTCACGACACAGGTGGCAGGGGAGGGTGGGGGCGGGCTTCTTACTGGCTGAGGTGCAGGCCCATTTCCTGGAGGGCTTGTTCCTGCTCGTTGCAAACCTTCTGCAACTCCGCCTTCTCGTCCTGGAGCTCCCGCAGCTCCTAAAATGGACCAACCAGAGGCCTGACACACTCATGTAACTGCAGCGACAAGCGGGTCAGAATGTTTTTCAAGAGCAAAAAGCAGTTTTGTTGTGTTAATCTCATTTGAGCTACGGTTATTTCATGGATGACTTCTCACTAGCCTGTTTCTCCAGAACAGGCACCTGCAGTGGGGACAGTGATGCGGGACAGGAAAACAGCTACGTGCAAATCAGTCACCCACACAGGGCGAGCAAGGCCTTGCCCATCTGAGTTGCTATTAAAAGGCCGTTGAAACAGAGAACTGCCTCAAAACACACACAGATGAGCCTTATGCAGGAGTGGGGGACACCTGCACAGTGAAGGCTCATTTGAATAAATAGTTTTTTGGAAAGGGCTGGTCTCAACTTCCTGAAAATGAACGACCAAGGCTGATGGAGGCCAGGATGTGGGATCTCACGCCCAGCCCGAGACCATGTGCGTGTGTGGGGTGAAGCTCACACGCTGATAACCACTGTCAGACAGGGCCAGGGCCTCTGGAGGACACAGCTTGGCAAGGGCCCTGACAAAGACCCAGGACAGTGATTTGGGGTTCAGGGCTGACGGAGAGCAGCAGGGCTTAGGCCTGAGTGGTGGGCATGTCCCTCCCAGGTGCCCCTGGGCCTTCTGCCCCAGAGCCTGGTGACACCTGCTCTGACGTCAGACATGTTCTGTTTGTGTGTGTACGTAAGTGCAGGTGTGGGGCAAGAGAGTATGCAATTCAAATCTTAGACCAAAGGGAATCCAGGGGGGAAGATGCAGAATCTTCTAGGAGTCCTCTTCTGCGCTCTATTTCTTCCCATCCCCTCTTGGAGCCTGAGAAGCTCTTGTGGAACCTCTCCCCTCCCCAGTGGTTCCCACCCCTGGCCCAGTGGGCTCCCCTGGGAGGGGCTCTTAGACACTTTCCAACAGAGATCAGAGGACCTTTGTGGGCTCATTCAGACCGTGCAGCAGTACCCATGATCCTGTTCAACACAACGAAATCCCCAAGGATCCTCCGCCAGGGCTGGTGTGTGACCGGTGTGCCCGAGACATCCTTTGCCCGCCTCTGCATGGCTGGCCCTCACTTGTCTCTTGGGTCAGCCTCCCAGGCACACTTCCCGGATCCCGGACTACTGCCGCCACTGCGGGCTGTCTCCCTGTTTTATTTTCCCCACCGCACTGCTCCCCAAGTGGCTGGTGTGCGCACCAGCCGCCGGGCGCAGAGGCTCCACGGCGCAGCCCTGGCTGTACCGGGGGCTCTGTGGCAGGGGCTCCTGGAGACGGCAGCAGCTCTTCCCCTCCCGGGCCGGCAGCCTTACCTTTTTTAATCCTTCCACTTGCTGTAGCTCTGCTCGGAGTAGAGAAGAAGTGTCCTTCTCCTGTTGTAATTCTCGTTGAAGAGCCTGTCTCTGTTCTTTTTCTGATTTCAACTCTTTCTCTAGACTCGAGCTGTTTTCCCAAAATGAACTTGAGTTAGTCTCAGTGAGAGATGCATGGAAGATGCACAATCTCCAACCCAATTCTCCGCAAAGGAAATGGGGAATTCACAGAAATCAGAAGTGCTGCACCTAAACCGGTCACCAGAGCAGGGAATCCAGGCTCCCTCTCCGGCAGGGCCACCTGCCCCTCCAGAGGGAAGACCAGGACCCCGCCGGGGGAAGCAGGCGCATGCACTTGACAGCACGCGAGCAGACAGAAAGGAAAAGAGCCCGGAGAGACACTTAGGACCGCACGAGTAGGATCCTCTACCCAGGCGGAGACCTGAGGGGAGAGACTGCAAAATGTCTTCTGTGTTTCGCAACCCAGAGCCAGCTCCCACTGGAGGACACGGGGTCGAGGCGGGAGAAAGCTACCGCACTCCCCCTCTCACCAGCTGAGTGGCCCTGGGACGTTCCCGAACCCCCTGAGCCGGCGCTCTCGCTTGCGAAAGGGGGGACACCGGGCTTGACACACACCCTGATTCCCGCTTCGGGGGCGTAAACGCAGAAGGGACACTGCCTGCACCCCGTCGGGAGCTGCCCGGCCCCGCCCCTTGGCCCCGCCCCCGGCCCCGCCTACCACTGCTCGTGCAGCTGGGAGAGCTGCTGCTGCAGCGCGCACGTCCGGCCCCCCAGCTCCTGCTGCAGCTTGTGGCTCCGCTCCTCGGCCCCCTGCCGCGCCCTCTCCGAGACCTGTAACCTGCGCCCAAAGAACCAGGTCTCCGTGGGAAAGGAGCTATCCTCAAGGCTGAGGGCAGCGTCTTTCACAGTCTTGTGGCTGGGGTTTTAAATACACACCCAGTAAAACTGTTCCCAGAGTTCTCAGCATGCGTACAGACTCGTGTAACTACCGCGGCGACGAGGAGCTCTGTCACCCTGGAAAGCTCCCTAATGCTGCCCTCTGGAGTCACCCCTAAACCTGGCAACCACTGATGTGCTCTGGTACCATGGCTTTGGCTTTTCGAGAATGTCCTAGAAATGGAATTATTCCTCATATAACCTCTTGAAACTGGCTTCTTTCACTCAGCGCGGTTTCTGAGATCATTCCAGGTTCGTGTATCAGTGGCTTGTTCCTTCTGATGGCCAAGTATTATTTCATGGTATAGGCAGTTTCCCCTTCATCAGATGAAAGACCTCTGATTTGCTTCTAGTTTTGGCAATTATATGCACAGACCTGCTATAAACATTTGTGTACAGGTTTCTGTGTGAACATCAGTCTTCACTTCTCTTGGGCAAATACCCAGGAGTGGGATTGTGGGGTCATATGATAAGAGGATGTTTAGCTTTATTTTAAGAGACTGTTCTCCACAGTGGCTGTACCATTTGGCATCCCCACTGGTAAGGTAGGGGAGTTCTAGTCACTTTGGAGTCTTGTCGGCACTCAGTGCTGTCACTAAAAAGATATTTAGCTGTTCTAATACATGCACAGTGACCCCCACTGTGATTGTAACACGCACGTCCCTGCTGGCTAGTGATACTGAACGTCTTTTTGTGTGCTGCTCTGCCATCCATATGCCCTCTTTGGTCAAGTGTCTTCAAGCCTTTTGTCATTTTTAAACTGGGTTGTTGAGTTTTGACAGTTCTTTATACATTCTGGATGCAAGTACTTTGTCAGTTATGTGATCTGCAAATTTTGTCCCATTCTGTAACGTGTCTTTTTATTCTCTTAACTGTGTCTTTCATAGAACAAAGGTTTATATATTTTGATAAAGTCCAATTTATCAAATTTTTCTCCCATGGACCCCAGGCTTTCACGTCACATCTAAGATCTCTTTGACTAACCCAAAGCCACAAAGATTTTCTATGTTTTCTTCTAAAAGTTAGAAATTTTAAGTTTTCCATTTAAACTTATCCATTTCTAGTTAATTTTTGAATAAGATATGAGGTGTAGATTGCGATTCATTTTTCTGATTGTTCAAACATCATTTATTAAAAAGACTTTCCTCGCTCCACTGAACTGCCTTTGTACCCTTGTAAGAAAATCAGTTGCCATATTCTTGTGAGTCTGTTTTCAGACTCTCTTGTGATCCACTACTGACTGATGTGGAAATGTGACCATGCCGCTGACCTCACTGTACCAGTCTGACCCCCTGGGAAGACAATGTGATACAGGAACCCAAAGGTTGATTAAGGGAACACACACTTAGGGCTGGGAATCGGCCCCCTTCAGCAAGACTAGGATCCCAAAGGCCCATCATCCCAAGTTGTCTGTACTTGTGAGAGAAACTCCAGGTCCAGAGAATGTCCCCATCTCCTAAGGAGTATGTGCCGGGGTCGGGGGGGGGTGATTACCTTTCTTCCATCTGTTTCATGCTGGACATAACTTGGTTGTTTTTTTCTTCAAAAGATGTGATGGCTTCATTCTTCTGCTGTAAACAGCTCTCGGCATTCTGCCAAGGCAAGGAAAAGGGGTCACACTCTGCCACTCCCTCACCGCCGGGCCTGCTTGGGATTAAGAACAGGTTTGATTGCACCCTCTACTTTCACAGCACTTTCAGGAGCATTTTGTTAATTGCTGCTCTTCCCCACAGCCCTGGAAGACATGTTGGGTTGAAGCGTCCAGTGTTATCAACAGAAAGAAAGGCCCAGAAAGAAGTAAGGAAGTAATGAGCCTTTCCTCTGTGAAAGGTCCATGTTCCTTTTCAAAAAGGAACTTCAGAGTGGGATCTGACAATGTTACTGAGCTGTTCCCACGTGCCCAGCACACCTGTGAGCTCTCTGGCCCTGGCAAGGGTGGTTAGCCCCCCTTCTCTAGGCAAAGGGAGGCTCAGAGAGAGCGCTGGGGTGAGACTAGCGCGCATGTGCCAGGACAGCACGCTCACACCCGTGACTATGTTGACTTCTGAATCCAGGCTCTGAACCAGATCCTGGACCGGGGGCGGCGGGGGTGGGGGGTGGCAAAAACACCATGTTCCTATGTGTCTACAAGAGACTCTTTTAAAATAAAAGGATACAGAAAGGCTGAAGACAGAAGGAGGTCCTAATAAATTCCCAAGAATAATGTACAGACTGTATTCTTAGACCTTAATGTGATACAATTAGACATTAACAACACAAGAACGACTAAAAACGCCTCATATCTTGGAAACAAAAATGGCATTATTACTAAAACTACTGAGCTAAAAATATAAACCAGAGGAAGAATTATGAAATACTCAGAGGTAAAAGCTAGTGAAAACACTATGCAATATTGTATAGTACTGAAGATGCACTGAGTGTAAGATGTGTCTTAATTTTACATGCCACTAAGAAAGAAAAACCTGCTACTTGGAACACTCAGGTCACTGACTGTAAGATGCATCTAGGTTTCAGAGATGCTAAGATGTGAAAAATGTGCCTCTTAGATGATATGCTTTTGTTAAAATTTGAGGGCCACAGCTAAAGCAGCACTTGCGGGTAATTTTTAACCTCAAATAGCATTTTTGTTATTTATTTTTATTTTTTTAAGTAAACTCTGCCCCCCAGCGTGGAGCTTGAACTCATGACCCTGAGATCAGGAGTCACACACTCTACTGAGTCAGCCAGGCACCCCCAAATGACATTTTTTATGAAAAAAAAAAAAAAAAAAAAAGATAAAACAGATAAACTAAGCATGCATTTCAGCAGCTGAAAATGAACTACAGAGAAAACCCAAAGAAATCAGAAAGAATATAATAAAAGTAAGGGTAGATAGAAGTCAATGAAAAACATGGGAACAAAAGACAATGCAGAGTATTAGGGGGAAAAGGTGGTTCTTTGAAAAGATTATTAAAGAAGATACACTTCTGGCAAGAAGGAATATAGGAAATAGAAAATGCAAGTAAGAAAATCCTGAATAAAAGAGAATTAAAAACTGTAAAAGAAAGAACATTATAAACAACTATGAGCTGAAACATTTGAGAACCTAAACAAGATACATTTTGGAAAAAATATACCAAAACTGTCCTGAGAAGAAACAGAAAGCACAAATAGGTCAGTAGCATTTAATAACTTGAAATGGTCATCAAAGTCACCCTGCCTGTCCAAAGCCTCAGACCCAGGTAAATCCTATTACATAGGTGGACTCTCTAAATTTTCAGAATAGCCACTTGCTATCTTGTATGAATTATTCCAGAAAAAGAGAGCTTCAAGAGAGCAGGAAAGCATATAGTGCCAACCCAATCTTGATTCTGAAGGCAAATAAGGTCAGTAAGAGGAAAGATAACTAGAGGTCCATCTCAAATATAAACACATATATTATACATAAAATATTAGCTAATGGTATCAAGAGTATATATACGTATATCATAATTAAGTAGGATTCCAAGAATGTTAATCAGTATAAATTACAACACAAATAAAGGAAAAAAAAGAATATGATTATCAAAATAGATACAACAGGAGCGTCTGGGTGGCTCAGTCGCTTAAGCATCTACCTTTGGTTCAGGTCAGGATCTCAGGGTCCTGGGATCCAGCCCTGCATCAGGCTCCCTGCTTAGCAGGGAGTCTGCTTCTCCCTCTCCCTCTGCCACAACTTGTGCTCTAATAAATAAATAAAATCTTAAAAAAAAAAAAAACAACCAACAAAATAGATACAATATAGGGGAAAAAAGCATTTAATAAATTCAACACATATTCATGGTAAAACTAAGCAAACAAGAAACAGAAGTGAACTTCCTTAACTCACTGAGGATCACATAGCAAACATCTAGCAAGATTATAGCTAATGGAGAAACTTTTAGATGCAATCCTTTTAAGAGCAGGACCACAAGTTTGCTCACTGTTTCTGCTGTGTAATGTAGTATTGGAAAGCCTGGCCAATGCTCTAAAAAACAAAAATTGAGGGTAAAGAGATTAAATTCTATTTGCCAATGATATGATCACTTACACATAAAGCCAACAGGATCAAGCGAGGAACTGTCTGCCCCTGGCGGTGTGCAAGGCTGCTAACAGGAGATCAGGCCTGCAAACACACGAGCTCTTTTCTATACCAGTAAGACCTAACCAGATGATGTAGCCAAAGTAAGGCACCGGTCACATGAGCAACAAGAACTACAATCCAGGAACTCACCTGGAGAAAATGCAAGACTCTTACCCAGTAAAAAGGACAAAAAAAGAGAAAAAAGAATTATCTGACTAAATGAAAATCTACCCCATGCTCTTGGATGAAATGGCTTTATACACTACGGAGGTCAATTTTTTCTCAAGTTAACCTTTAAGTCCAATGTAATCCCCATTTATGAAATTCAGTTGGATTTTTTTTTAAAAAATAAATTTAGCCTGGGACCTCCAACCTTGATCCTGGCTCTGCTCCAGTCCTGCCTGCCCCCACTGCTCATACTGCCCCTGCCTGGCGCCCGATCCCAGCTCGGTTCACCTGGATTTTTATTAAAAAAATTTTTTTTAAAGATTTATTTTAGAGAGTGAGAGCGCATGTGTGCAAGTGGGGGAGGGAGTGAGGGAGAGAGAGAATCCCAAGCCGACTCCTCGCCCAGCATGGGGCTTGATCCCACGACCCTGAGATCACAACCTGGGCCGAAACTAAGAGTCAGACGCTCAACCAACTGAACCACCCAGGCGCTCCTCAGCTGGATTTCTAAAAGGAACTTTATAAATTGTTCTAAATTTTTTGTCAAGAATAAAGGTTTACAAATAGATAAGTCAATCTTAAAAAGAGGGGAAAAAATTAGGGGGCAAGGAGGGCAGGCTTGACCTCTGTAATGGGTTGCGTTCCATCCCTCCCAAATCCGTATGTGGAAGCCCTGGCCCTAGTACCACATGATGTGACCTTATTTGGGAAGTGGGCCGTTGCTGACATAATTAGTTAAGATGAGGTCAAAGTTGGGGCGCCTGGGTGGCTCAGTTGGTTAAACCTCTGCCTTCAGCTCAGGTCATGATCCCAGGGTCCTGGGATCGAGCCCATCGGGCTCCCTGCTCATGCGGGAAGCCTGCTTCTCCCTCTGCCTGCCGCTCCCCCTGCTTGTGCTCTCTCCCTCTCTCGCTATCTCTCTCTGTGTGTCAAATAAATAAATAAAATCTTTAAAAAAAAAAAAAAAAGATGAGGTCAAAGTGGAGTAGGGGGGCCCTTAATCCAGTATCACTTGTGTCCTTATCAAAGGGGGAAATCTGGACATAGTCATGCACACAGGGAGCACACCAAGGGAAGGATCGCCAATGGTGGCCAGCAACCACCAGGAGCCCTTAGGACACAGAGACACTACAGTCTTCCTCACAGCCCTCAGAGGAAAGCAACTGTGCAGCCTCCCAATCTCAGACTCCTGGCCTCCAGACTGTGAGACAATGAAGCTCTGTCAAGCCACTCTGAGGTCCTTTGTTACAGCCAACTTAGACATAAAACATACTACAAAGCTATGGTGATTAGGTAACTCAGATAGACACACAGAACAGAGACCTCAGGGACAGTTCCACCTTAGGTACGAACTTGATCTATGATCAGGGTGGCAACACATATGAGAATGAGAAAAGACTGGACTAGTTTTAAAGTGGCTAACGATATGGAGAAAACCACACCTGGATCCCTCAGGCTGTAAATGAAAGTCAACTCTAGACATTAAAAACCTGTGTCAGGTTTATAAAACTAGTGTAGAATGTCTTTGACACCTAGGCTTGAGAAAGGGCTTCTTAAAATCCCCAAACTGCAGCCCATAACGTGAAAAATCAGCACATTTGACTACACCAAAAATAAGGACTTAAGGATACCAGAGAAGAGAGTAGAGGAGATCTACCACAGGTGAACCAATAAAGGACTAATATTCAGACTACACAGAATGACCGCTAATCAACAAGGACAAGACAAGGGGAGGGTCTAAGATGGTAATGTAGGAAGACCCTGAATTCTCCCCCTCCAGACACACCAAACCTATACCTACACCTACGGTGATTCCCTCTAAGAATGGAAGGCAGTTTCCAACCCAACAGAGGGACCACACGGAGAAGGGCAGGAGAGGTGGAGACATAGTTAGGACGGGAACCCACCCCTGATGCTGCCCGTGCAGTGGGGCGGGCTAGCAACTGCAGGTGAACTAAACCCAGAGTGTCTGCCAGGCGCTGGAGGAGTTGCTGGAATGCTCCCCAGGTGGGGAGGTGCCAGTGAGGACCACTGCTGATGGTCTCCCTCCACCCTGACAGCACAGACAGGAGCGTGGTCTGGCCATTCTAGCCAGCCCGACACCTCAGTGAGCCCCAGTTCCCTCGCTTATCAGCCCCAGGCAAGCCCCCGAGGCAGCCCTCCCATTGAGCTCACCCAAGCTCCAGCTGTCCCACCAAGGTGGACCCAGTGCAGCACAACTGGGATACCCTGGATGGTGCCCGCTCCAGCTCCAGCTGTCTTGCCAACACAGTATGGGTGCAAAGCACCTTGGGACACCCCAGGCCCACACCGGCTTCAGCTCTACCGACTTGCTAGGACACC